TTATGTCAATTGTTGTAAATTACCTTTTCAATAAACAGACTTCACTAAATTTAATTCAATGTCGAGTTTATGACTTTCTTTGTAAAAGAATATTGACATAGTAAGAGGGAGGGTTCATTTGGGCTCCATCTATCCATTCCAATCTACAATGTACCAGTACATTAAAATTTTGTGGAGAGAAAATGAGAATTTACCAAGTAATAAGTTGCTACAATTGACCATTTTCAAATAATATTTTCATTTGTACATCATAAAATTTTTACTTATTGTTTTCACATTTCCATAATTTTCTCAAGTCAATATTGGACCATTGAGCTTTTTTACCAAAATTATTGTTGGACAGACCAATAAGCAATAAGCATCAGATTAATCAGACTACTAACGTGTACAGTATACCAATCAGAACTATGTGCTAATATCAGCCTTAAATGTGAGTTTCCCTTTTGATTTAAGTCAAATGATCAATATGCCCATCTAGCCTGTTCACTATGGAAGACCAAACACCTCAAACCAAACAGTTTGATGAATTTCGAGAAATGTTTTTGAAGAAATGTTTTTGTAGAAGTTTTTGGAGAAATGTTTTACAAGATTTGTATTTGGAGATTTGTATTTGGAAATTTGTTGTTCAAGATTTGTTTTTCATTGTATGTAAATGTAGATTATTTTTTTTAATTGACTAAAATAAATTTTATCTTTATATTAAAATACAATAAAGTTAAACAGAAATACATTTTACAAATCTGATATGACAAACGTGTGATTTGTTAAACAAATATTGATTTTAAGCTACATCTGTTAGTTTTAGTGTACAAATGTCAAAACACGACAACCGATGATGAAATAAGAATTAAGGTCTATGAATTAAGAACTAAAAATTAAGAATACTGAATAAGAGCTGTTTGGTCTTCCATAGTTGACCTCGGCAGGATTTGACACCTATAAAAACAGTCCCTTAGCCATCCATGATTCTGTGCAGTCCCATTCACCCTCTATCATCAGTCATAGAGTAACCTGAGGTCTGCTTTAAGAGTGTCTCATAGTGAAAATCAGTCAATCAACATTTACTTTTTCTTTATACACATATCTGACTTTGTTCAAGATGAAAATATGCATCGCTGTAATGTAACACTTTCCTGTTTAGAAGAAAGATAAATTAAATAAAGATTGATCTGTCCTCAAAGCACATGTTGGGTGAACATAACATCGAATTATAAAAATTTGACATTTTCCAGCCATATCACTTCAAATGTGCATCAGGGAATACAGATGTCATGGAAAAAGGTCAACCATTGCATACATTGGATTTCACTGCTTTATAAATCTGATGTATATATGTCGAAAATTTGAAAGGCCAAATAAATCTTGAATTTTCATAATTAGTTCATGAGTTGATGTCATTAACTGGATACAAACACACCATGTACAAACACGGTACAGATTTCATTTTATATACCATCTGCAAAAGCAGTGAACAGCATAGATTTTTTTTTAATGATATGAATTGGTGTTTGAGGATTGTTAACAAGTACATTTCCTTTACATCTTGTAAGTTTTGAACCGATTATAATATCATCAAAGTTTATATTCGTTATAAAATCACTCCATTACTTAAACAAGCATTATGTAAGAGTTAAATCTGCCTATTGAAGGTATTTCTTTGGGCCTTAAATGTTATGTTATATAAATTATTAATTAGACATTTATTAACATGACAAGACCATAATCAACTCCTGATGCCATGGGATGGCTCTGATTTTAAGTAGATTAGAACGCTTCAGCCATTTAATGATTTAATTTAAAAATGGAGAAGCGTGGCTAAGACTCGAGCCACCAGTATTGTGGTTACAATCAATACACACATCTTGTCAAAACTACAACCATTGATAACTTCGCTCAAAATAAAGTAATTTGAATGAAATTTTCAACATATTCATTATCTATTTTTGAAATATTATAGCGAGAACGGCCAGCTTTTTATCTAAATCTTACATAATGCCCCTTTAATCCCACTCATTCCCTATTTAAAAATAATCACTCTTCCTTCCTTAGGCCTCTAAAACACTTCCAAATGCACACTGTATAACTACAATATTTACATAATAATCACAATCATGTTGTATAATAATATAATATTATTAATTGGCAGTATGATAATTATCATCATACCTTGTTTTAATTTGATTTTTTGATGGAATACTTAAGTGATGAATGATTTTTTTTTTTATAAATGTGACCACAAAAAAATAAAATAACAACATACAAATGATAAACAAGTATAAACAATGGCAATTAAATTTTTAAAAAACAAAGAGTTCTAGAATATATGATATCATTAAGCTATATAACAACTCATCAATGACAATTTTAAAGACAATTGCTGAAAGCCATGAGTATTGTCTGCGACTACAACTAACTGCTTAAAGCATAACAATATACAAGAGCAAAAAATATCTTTGGCCATACATTATCCATATAGGATTACATTTTTATACACTGTGCCACTAAGTGACAAAAGATGAATTAATAACCCTTTTCCTCTTCGTTTTCTTGTTCTTAAAGATGACAAAGAAAATAAGATAACAAATGATTAAATATGGGAATAACTAATAATCTCTATGGCTTAATAATCATGATTACTTTCATTATTCCATATACATATTCAAATAATTTGATTTAAGTTTGAGGAACAAATTTCTGAATTATCATCTTTTTTTATTATTATAAATTTTAGTACATTTTAATCAATATCCAATCAAACTAAACAAAAGAAAATTAAATGATTGTTTCTGTAATTTCTCACTTCACACATATAAATCCTTGTTTTCAAGACTTATTTCTAATACTGTTTGATGCCTTTCTCTATCAAGACCACACCCACGATATAAATGATCTAAAATGTTGATGAATGTCAGAAAAATGTCCTTTTGATGTTTCAAACAAAACAATTAAAGTATACAATCATTTTATATATTGATATATATTGATTAAATTCAATCGATGCCTTATGTGAACATAAGTTGTAATGTTACATACATAGTATATAGTATTATATAGATATAAGTATGATATTAAAAATATCAAGCCATATGACATAATAATAAATGATGACTCACTGTACCTTAATTGAGCTAAATGTACCATTTAAAAAATTTATATATTACTAACTACCTACAATAAACATAAGTGAGCACTTTCTTCTTAAAGTAGGTGAATATTTATTGTTTCATTTCACCTTTTGTCTAAAATATTGTAAAAAATAAACTAGAGATTAAACTAATGGATGATAGTTTGTATAACAACTAATAGATCGGATACAATCTCCAAACATACCATTTGTTTCCATAATAAGACTGGTGTTTGATGTACCCTACTTATTAGGCATTATGATACCAACATGTATTATTGCTGACACTGTAACAAATAATTTGTTAAAACACAGTCCCATTAACCTGGAACCTGGTCGTCAATGACAAATATTTTAAATTATACAAATGATCTTAATTTAATTATATGCAGAGAAAATATCTGAAATGCTTTAAAGGTTGAATTGGTCTAAATAGCTTAAATGTATTTGTCAGTATAAATGTAATGAAATGAAAGAGAGTTTAATGGCACAGGGCTATGGAGGTTGTTTCCATGCCCAAAATGTATCAAAGTTCCTTAAAACTTATATTATACTCCTTAAAACTACCAGTAATTACGTGGAGATTGTATCTGATTTAATAGAAAACATTCTAATGGATGAAACTTTTGATTAATTTATGTTGTCTTTGGTTCTTATATAAATTTATAAACAGTTATTAATTAACATGATAATCATTGAGAACAAAAGGGTAAATCTAAATAAACGATGTTTGGACCCAAAATATTAGGGGCCACTATATTACATTAAAATCAATGTTTACAAAAAATATTAAAGAAAGAAAATACTGGGACACAATATATCTTTTTTGAAAAATTGAACATTTGAAATATAAAATAATGTAAGCTATATGTATGTTATCAATCATAACTTTACATACATACAAATTGTAAGTACAATACTCATGAACATATTCATGCAAATACATGCACAGTTAACAAAATAATTCCTTGACTTCTAATATGAATAACAGGATTATATTTTGGTTAATTTGCTGAGGAATTTATTTCATATACTAGTTTACTAAAGTATGCATTTAAAAAAACAACATGCGGGCTAAACATTTAACTAAATATGATAGCCTATGTGTGAAACAATATTAAAGTATCCGAAAATAGAATGCTAGGTATTGTGTATCCATAGAATTATTGATTTACATATAACATATAGATTAACATGGTGAAGTATGACATTAAATGCCACCTAATGTCATATAAAAAAATCACCTCATATATATATATATATATATATATATATATATATATATATATATATATATATATATATATATTGCACTACAATTTGATTCGGGGGAAAATAATTTCCAAATTGCTTACATTTTAAATATTCATTTGATTTCATGTTCCACATTTATGTATCATTTTTCAAATGCATACTTTGTGGTACATATATATGATTTATCTGTTTTTAGAACTTATCAAAAGGTGTATTTCTCAAGCTTATAATGCATAACAATTTTATCATTTTAATCAAAATTATTTTCAACAATATTTGTTGTAAATACATTTTACTTCAACAACAACATACACAATGAATATCATCTTTTAAAAATGTGTTCTTTAATAAATTGTTAAATGCCATTTAATTGTTTGATTTGCAATTTAAAATGTTCATCCATTCAAGAAAGATGTAACTAATACATACAATAACAGGTTAGAACATACAAAAAAATAATGATTCAAGATCTAGATTATATCTAGCATGAAATAATAAAAAAAAATATTTGAAAAAATTGTTGTTTTATTAATGTACTAAATAAAGAGTATTGATATAATAATGTAAAGAAAACAACAAAACAAAATAATCATGCAACAATATCATGAAATCACAACTATAATAGAATAATAATAACATAAAGAATCAAAGTCTCTATTTTAATACAAAGACATTTTTGATATGGTATTAAATGAAACTTGGTTCACAATAACATAAGAAAAAAAAAACATACTCTATGACTAAACCATTAAATGCACTAACAATCAAGTGCAGTTCAGGTACCAACCCACTTAGCACTTTTATCAAGTTTTAAAGCATTATATTTTGCATGTCAAATGTAAAAGATTGTGTTATATTTGTCACTTAATATGACTGGTCAAATGGCAGTTAAAATCGACCCTGTCTTTACAAGAAATCTTACATATAACACATTTAAATGGATCGGTGTCATGCGAATGAAAGCCATTGTGTAATAAGTAGAGTGTACAATCTTCGAATATAATATGACAATGCTCACATTTATACACTTTACCCTTCATCAATAGATAAGATACTAAAGCTTGATCTTCAGCATCATTCTGGTCCTTTGGTAAAACTGGTATTGAGGAGGTCGATTGTGGCATCTCTTGTTCACTGCTAGCACTGCTACTGTATCGTCTCATGGGATGCCTTTGTTTTCTTGAGCTGGACGAGGGCATCATACGTGTATTGAGATTCAAGCGTTCGATAGATGTCTTGTTCTGTTCGTCTGTTTGATTTTCTGCTCCATCTGGTGACTGTGAGCCTGTGTCACTTGTATCGCTTGAACGCGTCTGTAACTCATTTGAAACATTAGCCTCCCTGTCATGGTCCCCACCATCTCTTCCTTCATCCACTTCTTCTTCAACTTCTCCCATATCCCCATCTGCTTCTCCGCCATTTAAGATTGGTGAAACAAGTTGTGATTCTGTGTGAATTTTTCTCATCTGACTAGTTGTGCTAACAACATCGTTGCGTTCAATAATTGGAGAGCTGAGCTCGGGAGACTTGAGATGTGAAGAGAGAGCCATACTAGTGAAGAACTGTTGTCGAACTCCCAAGAAATCAGCTTCTGGCAAGGACAGTGTTGGAGTTGAGTATAGGCTTAAGGGTGCTGGAAAGCTGGATGCAAACGAAGATACAGCTGGGGAGCGAAATGGCAATATTGATGAGAAAGGAGGCAGTTGCCCTTGACTGTGGAACATATGTGGTGGAGATATATAGGAAGTAGATTCAATAGAAGAGGGTCGCATGTCATAACCATTCTGTCTTTCTTCTTCTTTTTCATCCAGTTCCCGAGGACTTCCCCCATTGGAGCTAGTCATTGAATCTTCATACATCATGGATTCTGGTAAGTTTGGATGACTAGCCATATGATGTTGCAGCTCCTGCCATTTGGTGAATGTTGCGTAGCATACATGACATCTTTGAATGGAATCTGTCAAGTGTCGTCTTTCATGCATTCGATAACTTCCACTCTGAGCAAATGTTCTGCCACATACTTTACAAATGTAAGGCTTCTCTCCTGTATGAATCCTCTCGTGCGTGCGTAGCGTACCAATCTGAGTAAAACTCTTTCCACAAGATCCACACGAATATGGTCTCTCACCAGTATGAATACGCTTATGTGTACTCAAACTACTCTGACTAGAAAATACCTTCCCACATATCTTACAGATTACTGGTGGCATCATATCTATGTGCATTCTGTGCTGAAAATGGTTCAATGGTGAGTGAATCATTGGTGGTTTTGTATCATAGGGTTTGTTCTCTTTGGGAGATACAGGTGACTTGGGCTGACTGATATGTACACGCTCATGTTTTTTCCAGTTACTGGGATCACTGAACCTTTTACCACAGACACCGCAAGCGAAAGGTTTTTCACCTGTGTGTAGTCGCTCATGTGCTTTAATATAACCAGCTTGAGAAAATGTTTTACCACAATACCTACATGCTAGTTTACTACCACAGTTCAAATTGTTCATATTAACTCCTAACACTTTATCATCATTATTATTAGAATGTAAAATATGTCGTATACCACTGCCTTCTTCCTCTTTCTTTAAGTTGGTCGGTGACTGCAAGATTGGTGTATCTTGTCCATAGGATTCTGCCATAATGTTAGCATCACTCATGTCTTCAGAGCATCGGGAAAGGGTTGCAGGAAGGGAGGGAAGGCATGGGTATCTGGAAAGACAGAACAAGAATAAGGTATGACTTTAAAAGTTATCCAATCAATAAACCTATATTATTTCATGAGAGGTCATTGAAACTAAAGACATTTCCTTGATATGAAGCCATAAACAAAACGGTCAAATAAAAGAAGTGAGAACATTAATAGCATCATGACCTCATAGCACACATAAAAAATAAAACCTGAAACTTCATTTACGTCATACAATACAATATAAGAATGCAAACTCATTTATATAGTGCTTTCACAAAATGTATTACAGAACTTTATAAAAAAAAAAATATTACAAACAATGTATTTGATAATCAAACCCAAAAGATTATCCATAAAACATTTTGTGACAACCTGTACACCGATTAAAACATTTTCAAAGCTGATCATTTACATCTATTCCTTGTGCAATCAAATATCTTAACTAAGTGCAATATTTTAAGTATAACAGTGAAATTTGGACAAATCAATATTCCAAATAACACCCAGTCCAGTAAGTTAGTCCTTTTCTTTATATCTGCTAAATGTATGTCTGATCTGCGGCGGCGAGAGGTCATGACAAATTTTCTAGAACAAAGACTAGATATGGCACAAAATCTAATCCTTGATAAATATTTTATTTTCTCTATAATCACATCTGTGTTTGACTATTGTTACTAAAATTATACATATTTACTTTCAACATCTCTAAGTAAACATAATAGCTAGAAAACGTCTCTTATTTGTTCAAGTAGAGTGATACCCATTGAGAAAATAAATATATACATACACTAAGTATGAAATAAAAAACAAAATGGAACACATTTAAGAATTCTTAAACTACTTATGATGATGATGATGATGATGTTCAAAACATTGATGGTTAAGGTAATAATTATATTCAGTAAAACTAGAAATTAATGTGTCCTAGAAATAATGCCACCCTAAGGAGATTGAAATAAATGTGTATCGAATTAATGTACAGTAACTGTACCATACATTGTCAGCTAAATGGTTTTATAGTTTTAGAAATAGCAGTTGCAAACAAAAGGTTACTGTAAGATAATTTCATCATTATAATGTTACCATTTTATTAGTTACTTTTGATTCATTTAATATTTTCAAGTTGATCCTTCACTTATAGTGCTTTATCTTGATCTGATATAAAACCAATATTCATATAGTAATTAATGCAACTGGTGGTAGGGGTTACCTTTAACATGTAATTTAAATTGCTTGCTCTCTTAAATTTCTTGTTTTTCAGCAAATATTAAATTAGAAAAAAATTTATGGAAAATATATGTTATAACCAGAAAAATATAACTAGAGGAAATTCTTCTTGGAGCATCCATTACTCGTACAATCTTGGTTGGTAACATAATGTACATTTTCTATTTGTGCAGTAAACAAAACTTATTGCTTTAAACAGACTTATGGCATAGTCTTCTTACATACAGTCCCAACAACATAAACGATTTGCGAGAACAGTTTATTCCTTTGTAATATGGAAATTACTCAACCCTAAAAAATTCATAGATATTAATATGTCTTGCACATCACCAGTTATTGTATATTCATTAGCAAAACATATTCATTTATCATTTATTAAACATACATTATGCAAGAGCTAAATCTGATTATTGCAAGTCTTTATTTAGGCTTCAGATGTCATAAAAATTATAAATTAGATCTTTATTTACACAACAAGCACAAAATCAACTCTGTAGACCCACGGATGGCATGGATTCGGCTTGGATTTAATCATGTTTTCATTGAAAACACAACACAGTTTATATGGAAATACAATCACTGGTTTATAAGTATAGCACGACGTTTCGACAAGTATTCTCTTATCGTTATCATTTTGTGCTTGATAACGATAAGAGAATACTTGTCGAAACGTCGTGCTATACTTATAAACCAGTGATTGTATTTCCATATAAACTGTGTTGTGTTTTTAATGTGTTCAATCGCTAAATGCCACTCAAGGATTATATGTTTTCATTGATTGATTAAATTTTTAAATGGCGTCGTAAGCCCCATTGGATCACTGTTTATTATTTGAAATTTGTCTGCTTCGGGAGTCACGTAGGCCTACCGGTTACAGTGCAAGAGTACACGCAGGATAACAAGAAGTCAGCTATAATTATACCTCATTGATTTGGTCCATTCCTTTCAGACTTTCGCTTCTTATCTATATATTAAAAGTCTTATTTTTAATTTGTAGTAAAAATAAATGTGATACGAATTGAATTGCAACCCATTCTCAAACCGAATAGACTAACGGTACCACAGCCATTGAAAACGTTACTTGATATTCGAGATTATGTAGGTGGAGTTAACGCCTGTCAATCAAACAATCGGCCATTCTCGGAGAAGGTGAAGAGAGAGTTGACTGAAATTTTCAATATATTCTTCTTTCATCATCTATTTTTGAACTGTTATAGCAAGAATGGCCAACTCTCTATTAAAATCTCCCATAATGTATCTTTAAGCAACAGTCTATTGTATATGCCTTTCTTCATAACTTGTGTGCTTATTTCATACTATGTGTAATATAGTAATATTACAAATGGTACATTTATGGCTTATTCATTTATTGTGCATTCCCTCTGTTATACATATATACTCTTACCCAAACATCAATTCCCCATTATCAAAAGGGGCATTGACATACTTGTATCTAAAAGGCATGTGGAGCATTTATAAGATTTTGTTCGCAGGAAGTAGTAACTCAGATTTTAAATTTTAATAGAGTTGCACCCAATGATTCCCTAACCCCAGCAAGTTTCATAAAAAATTCACCAAAAATCCTAAATAATCAGTTACATCAATATTAATGTTCACTAATTGGATTTGGAGGAAACAATATTGGATTTTTGTTTTTCACTATGAAAGTAAATGAAATGGGGTTTAGCCTCATACTTTTCTGCTCCAACTGGGCTAATGATGACAGGAATACGAGAGGAAATTTTTCCTACTCATCAAATTCTGTATTTCATCAAACTATAAACTGAAATCTATTTGTAATTTACTTTAACACTAGTACTGTTTTCAAGAATAAATATATAAAAATAAGAATATGCACATAATATTTATCACGGAGGAACAATCAATTAAATTTATCAGAAAGGTTACACTAAAAAATCAGGAAAATTCAGATATCCTTATCTAGCTCGAAATTATAAACAAGTTATCATTATGTAATTTATTTTTTCTCAAAAAATCCTACTACCCAGATGTTAAATATTTATTACAGACATGTTTAATGTTGAGTACATTTCTAAATGTACATTACAAAAATAGGATGATTTATTCAGAGAATACAGAAAGTCTATATTCTACATTTTCTGTGTTCTGCAATTGATCTGCCAATAAAGAGCTAGTCTGTTGTTTCACAGATCATTCAGTCACAATTTATACCTATAAACACAGAGAGAGAGAGAGAGAGAGAGAGAGTGATCGAATGAAATGTTGTTTTATGTGATTTATGTCCACTGGGCACTAACCAGATCATTTTGGGATTAACATAATAAGAGGAAACCAGATACTAAGATAAAATCAACCAGGTTAAACAGGAAATCTGACTGTTTGTCTGATAGCAACCTATAATCAAACCCATGACTTGCATAGATAACAGGCATGATGGACTTCTCTGTTAAAATCTCTCATGTGTGAATTAAGAGAAAATTTTGTCAAATAGGGTCCTACACCACCTCTATCAGGCTATTAACTTTAATTTATCCACATTCTTTGAAGTATATAAGCTACCTATAACAGATATTTGAAATATTTAATATGGTTATGTCTGAAGAACATATTTATCTACCCACATTGTTTAAGATACTTTATGCGAGATTTAGAGAAAAGGAAAGAGCAGGTCGCTCTGGCTATAATAGTTAAAAATACATGATGAAAAATGAATATATTGACTTCAGTTTTGACAAAAAATATATTTCATATATCTTAATATTTTCATATTTCTCATTTTTTATTTTCCTTCACATTCTTAATAATCTTAAATTGTGAATTCTGGAGAGAGAGAGAGAGAGAAATGGGGTTTACCGTCCACTCGACACAAACTAGGTCATTTCGGGACTAACATATGGTTTAATTTTATTTCAATAATTCGCTTGCGCGTAGGGGTCTTTAGCAGTGGGAGGAAACCAGAGGACCCTGAGAAAACCCACGAGGCTGGACAGGCGACCCCACTCCTGTTAATTCTGGAAGTTGTACAATTCTTAAATATATATTTTAAACAAGGTTTATGTACACCCATTGTATCATTTTCTCAAATGCTTCATTCATTCAATAATACCAAATAATCTCATGTTATTTTGACAATATGGCTTCTCCACACGGATTACGTTGTCTTCAGTTTGTTCCCTCTGTGTATAGGGCCTACATACTCACTATTCAATCAAACGGTCCCCATTATATCATGTTTTCGTTGTACATAGTTTATTACTACCCAATCCTTATGGCTTATCCCCCCTTTGATGGTTTTTAAATGATTATCTCTAGTTGTACATTAATGTTTAGCTTTGTTCCATATTTTGTATATATACCTTCACTGTACTATAATGGCTGTTATTCTTTGCTTGATAAAGACGAGAGAACCCTTGTCAAAACGTCGCTAGAAAAAAATCTTTCAAGTAACTTGTATTCCATATAATTGTGTCATGTGTTAACCTGTTAAGTGCGTAGGTCGTTATATAACGTCCTGGACAACTGCCACTCACTGAGTGTAGGACGTAATTTAACGTCTTGGAGGTATTTTCCCCAACCTATTCTTAGAACATAGTTCGTCACATGGGTGAATTCCCCCACGATCGCAGCATGTGTAGGATGTTATATTACGTCCTGGACAACTGCCACTCACTGTGTGTAGGGCGTAATATAACGCCTTGGAGGTATTTTCCCCAATCTATTCTTAGAAGATAGTGCATAGTTCTTCGTCACAATTACACAATAGGGGGTTGTTAACGTTTTAAAAACGTCACGCTTAACGGGTTAATTCACT